TTTTTTCCATTTGTCTAATTCAATATTATAGCCAAAGTTCGGCGTCCATTTTATCATTTGTTCTTTCACAATTTCCTCTTCGTCACTGGAGGTTTTAAAGAAGGAACTGGACAGACACCTGTGTGAAATGGTAATGATTCTCCTGCTTGAGCAGGGGGGGGGGCAGGAAAAACCAAAGATACATGTACAAAACCTTGCTTAACAGCAGCAACTGTGAGAGGGACCTTGCAGTCCTAGTGGACAATCATTAAATATGAACCAGCTTCGGCAAAATTAATGAGTTCCCCTTCTATTCCTTTATCTAAATAATTTATGAAGATATTGAAAAGTACTGGGCCTAAGATGGAGCCTTGTGAATTCCCACTGCTTACTTCCCTCCATGTACAATAGATGTAGTACCCTTAAGGGCTACTCATTGAGTATGGTTTGTCAGTGAATTACAAATCCATCTGGTGGTGAGGTTCTCTATCCCAGATTTTTCTAGCTTGCCAAGAAGTAGGCGGTGGTCTACTTTGTCAAATGTAAAAGAAGAATTTTCTTTGGAATCCTTGGCATTTTTATCGTAAACAAAAGTCTTCAAATGGGATCCCTTTGAATAACTATCGCGTAGTCCTACCCTGGGTAGTTTCCATGTGATTTTCCTTTTGTTTCAGGCCATGACACTACAGCAAGTGGATTGTCCTGGATTCTATACAATTTGGCTCAACACCCCACGTATCAAGACCAGTGCCGGGCAGAAATTCGAGATCTGCTGCAGGGACGGGAAACAGAAAGCATTGAATGGTAATGGGCTGCGGGCAGAAAGAAAGCAGTCCAGAGGGTGGGAAAACAAGGCCGATTCAGATGTTATTTGAAAGAGAAAGTGAACTAAGGCAGAGCTAATGTCCTCCAGGTGTGAAGTTATAATGTTACATCATTATTGTGGGAATAAGTCCACAAGAGTTGCCAAGGTTGAGAAACTCTGGTCCAGAGGTTAATTAAATGATGGTATCGTTGAGGATTATGCAAATTGTTTGCTTAGCGTTAGAGAACCTGTTGTTAAGGTTTCCTTGAAGTTGTCTGCTTGGAGAGTATTACATGTCTGTGTCACAATGCCAATACCCCCTTGGCCAAAGTGAGTCAGAAATGGGGAAGATCAAAAAGATGCTTAGGAAGGGTTTCATTTTCAAGAGCAGGCTGAGGACTTTGGCTGCTCAAATGAGAGCGGGACTCAACGGCAGCTCTCTCTAGCTGGAAGCCAATTTGTAAATCCATCCGTTGTTTTCCACAGCAACATGATTGGCTTTTAAAAATTTCCGTCTGCCTCTGCTTATTGGGTGATTTATGCTTTGCAGAGTTAGTAGACTTTTGCCTTTTACAAGCTTCCCAGCTTTGAGTTTGGTCTGGTTTGAATACCCAAAGCTGAATCACCATCAGAATGTATTATTCCCTTCCTTTCCGAACCGTTGACATATTCGTGGCTTTCCACCTACATTTTTGATACCTGTAACTGTAGCTGATCAAAATAGGATGCTGCTTTTTCTGGGTTTGACCAGGGAAAGTATGTAGGATAGTTCAGGGAGAGTTTCCCCCCCCCCAAGTTTTTTTTATTTTGTTTTATATATATGTATCAATACGTGAATAGTGTGGCCCCTGGGTGTCATGCATTTTAATACGAATAAAACTGGTACAATTAATCATAGTTATTACATTCAACCAGTGGTGGGATTCAGCCAGTTAAGAGAGGGCTACCAACCCTTCCTGCAGCCCCTGGGAAGAGAGAGAGAGAGAGAGAGAGAGAGGGAGGGAGGGAGAGAGAGAAAGAGAGAGAGAGAAAGAGAGAGAGAGAAAGAATGAAAGAAAGAAACAAAGAAACAAAGAAAAAGAAAGAAAGAAAGAGGCATAAAAAGGAAGGAAGGAAAAGAAAAGAAGGAAAGTTGGAGAGAGAGAGAGACAAGAAAGAAGGAAGGAAGAGAAAGAAAAAGAAAGTGGGGGAGAGAGACACAAGAAGGAAGGAAGAGAAAGA